TAGAAGAAAGTATTCTTGTGTTGAGGGAGTACTTGAGTGGAGGCTGTTTGGGTTTTTTTGCTGCTGTAATTTTTTTAAAAGAATTCCTTTACCACTCCACTCTATGGAGACAACTAGATTCTGCATGACCCAGCCACCCAACAGCTACATCTAGAGAGTAAGGACACGTACCCACACCAGAGCCAACCACCTGATCAACAAACAAAAAAACAAACCCAAAGCAACAACAACAACAAACCACCAAGATGTCCTGGAAAAATAGACAATTACAGCTCATACGAAGAAACAAGAGTGATGGTAAAGCAATGACCCCTGTATGAGGCCAAAAGATTTTCCTGAGGAAGGTAAAGTATTGGAATGACCAGAAAAGGAATTCAGTAGATTGATTCTTACATACCTCTAAAGATAAAGAGATCAAAAGAAATATTGAAAAAAAGTAACTGTCGGAGAACCCAGCAAAAACCAAACGCTCAATCTGTCGAAATAAATGAACATTTTAAACCCATACATGAACAGTGGATAGAGATCCAGAAGATGAATCCTGAGACCTGCATATCAAAGCTGGCTAGTCGTCCTCCAGTCCTGACGTCACGTTCCTCCTCAGACAGTGCAGCTTTTCAGATTACCTGCTCAGCCTACATATTTCATAAGTAGGATTGTACTTCAACAAATTTGGAAACCTAAAAGGGATAAATTTCTAGAAATATACTATGTACCTAAGCTAACACAGACTGATGTAAAAAAGCAAATCAAAATGAGTAGACCCATAATAAAAGAAGTTTCCACGTCATTAAAAAATTTCCCAACCAAAAATGTCCAGGGTCAGACACTCCACTGGGGAATTCTACCAGATATACAGAGAAAAGCTGGTACCAGTTCTATTTAAACGATTCCAGAATATAGGACGGCAAATTTCTGAATTCATTTTATGATGCAAGTGAGCATAACCTTGATATCAAAACAGGCAAAATCATCACCAGAATAGAAAATTATAAATAAATATCTCTTATTAACATACAAATTTTCTTTTTTTTT